AATGTCCCCAACTTAAATTTCAGATTTTTTAAAACAAATTTATGGAAGAAAAGTCCGATTTAAAAAGCAATAGGTGCAAAAAACGTCAAAGTGATTCCATTTACTGGTGTTGATTTTTTTCTAAATGTTAACAACATAAACATTAACGCTTAATTAAAATTGCACACTTAGATAATTTAAAATCAATCACATCATATTTACGTCTAGAAGTTATCAAAATACAATCTTATGATATAATGTAGTGGTGGTCTCATCATATATTAAACATCCAGAAAAATAGCTGTAAAATAGCAAGGAATAACAAAGTCTGTCTAGTATGGTTGAAATTTGATACGTATTTTCACAAAATAAAATTAATATATTTATTAGTGGTTTCATATTGCACCAAAAATGAATAATTTATACGCACATTGAAAAATAATATAAATATATTCCTAACACAGGACAAGTTTCATTACTGGAGAAATTAATTCGTGCATTGGCCAGAAAAGTGATTTATTTAAGTAAATAGACATAGAGGGGAAAAACGACATTTATACGGGCCAACTGTATTTACCACGGACTGAAAAAGATAAATGATAATGAAAGAAAGAGTCCATAGCCGTTTTTGTTTTGAAAACATTTAAAAAAAAAATCTCCAAATTTCCCAATAAGCCATAACCCTTTAGGGAAAAGCTTTTTCATCTTCACAAACCCCAGTTTAACCAACACAAAGAGCAAAGGAGAAAAAAAATTTCCCGCTGCCAAAACTCGGTTGTAATAAGGGGTTTTCTTTAAAAAAAAAATTTTATGTTATTTTTTAAAGAAGTATTTTTGAACGATTTTAAAATTTAACCATTGGTAACACTATTTAAAAATAAAAACTTTTAGGCCAATTATATTTCCGAAGGGGGCAGCCCCCCAAAAAAAGAAAACCCCCCAGTTTTGGAGAGAAAACAAATTCCCCCAAAAAAAGAACCCCCGGAAAAAAGGATGAAAGGGCATATCAAAAGGGGCAAAGAAACAGAATGTGTTATACGCGAATACATATTGTTGTTATTTTTTCTACATAAATAATAAAAGTCAAACATAAATCATAATTTTGTTTTGTATTTGTGTTGAATATATGATACAGTTAAATTATGTACTTTAAAGTGACTTTTGAAATATTGTCAGTTATACATCTGATACTTTAAAAACTAAGATTTAACATATTTGGATCTATATTTATAAAGTCATATTTATAATTTGAATAAAGCATTTATTCGCTTCACTCTTAAAATTACAACAGAGAAGTAAACATAATGTAAATAAGGTTACATTAAGGTAGCACACCTCTAATGGACATCATTTCAAACTTTTTTTTTGCATATTATTTTCATAATCTGTACCATTTTACTGACTTATCTTCAAAATTTAAGACCATCTTTCCATGTAAATAAAAAAAATATTCGTAATTTTCTATCACTCCCCCCCCCCCCGTATTTTGAAAATTTTCTAGTCTTGTTTTACCTGTATGGTAAGTAAAAGTGTCATTTTTTACTTAAAAATGTTGTTTTTACCACCAAAATTAGTATATATGAATCAGAAAGGGTCATTTTATAAAACATCAGGCTTAAAAATGAATCTTGATAGGGGAAAATAGAAAAAAAATTTAATTTTCTGAAATAACTTGAAAAAAATGGCCGCCATCTGACTGTAGACAAAAAAGTACCACCTCCAATTATTGATATTTTTTCAAGTACATGAATATTCATTAAAACTTTAGCGCTTATTGTTCATCAACACCCTATTACTTAGGGAAATAAAGGCCAATCAAACAATTTGCCCGCATCATTTTAACAAAATAGTGAACAAAGCATAACATGCGGAAAATAGAATATTCATTTTATTTTCAAATTTCAATTATTGAAAATATACCGAGATCATATATTATAAATAATGAAAATATCAGTCATATAATCACAATATATATGATTTTATGAAATTTATCTTTAAGGCCCGACCAGGTATGTGTTCTTGTCTGTCTTTTTTCCTTTTGTCATGGTTGATTGAAATGGTTTTGCAAGTTGAATGATATATGATTGGTTTTGTATAAAAGATATGTTTAGCTGATTTGGTTCTGGGATTTTGAATTGTTGTGTAATATTTTGTATTATTTATTTTATGAAATGTATATGTCTTGTAAACTACTTGTTTTGTAATGCGATGCATTGTCTATTATTTTTACTGCAGGTTTTATTCTTTAATATGGAATAAATATATATTGAAAACCTCATTGAGTGTTACGTTCAAAACACCACCACTACAAAATGGCTCCCCAACAAGGTTAATTAAAGAGGCCATGCGAGCTGTTCATTGCTTGTAGGGCACCTAGAATCCAGCGGTAAGAGGACCAGGACGATTCCTGGAACCTCACCGCGGCAACCAACCAATACAGCAATAGAAGAGATTTTGATAGACACATAGGTATACTTCCAACCCAATCCCACCTCCCTACCCATGTCTTTTTGTAAATGGAGCTCTTTCGTGCCAGATTTGTATCAAAAAGACTTTTTTAACATGATCAGTTTGAAAGCGTATGTAAACAGCGGAGGAATTTATTTATTGTATATACGGACAAGGAACGTTGACATTTTTATTTTGTTTTACAGCAGATCTTTCATACTAATGTGATTTGATATTGTTATCATATTTTATTCTTGTATATTTTGGATTTTCTGACCGTCCATGAACAGGCTTAATCAAACCGAGTCTGCAACATTTTCAATTTTCGCCGAGTTGGGCTTTCTTTAGGGATTCTTATTTCCCTCTATTTTTCAAATTTTATAGGAACAATTTTTTTTGGATTAATTTCTGGACTACTTCGTTCCATATTCTTAATTTTGGGTTACCTTCTTCACGGAAATGTAAAACAAGGTCTTTTTTATCTTTACATATTTTAAGTAAATTTTTGATTTAATTCAGTTGCTTTCAAAGTCAATTTTTGATTCATTTCATAAATAGTACTTGTCTAAGTAAAATCGAAAAATGTAAATGTGACACAATTTCGCGATCTCACAAATTTCATAATAAGAAAATTTCGGATATGCCATAAATTTCGGATAGTTCACACTGCATAGTAAGTTAAATGTACTTCACACATTTTTATAGTTCTTTGTGAAGATACTGCTATTGTTTATTTATCATGTGTGTATGAATAGTGTTGTATATTTATAATTATTTGTGTCTAAATATTTGACTTACTGACTATTAAACTTAATAGCATATAGATATATTTAAATAGATATTTAGAAACCTTTAAGGTCTTGAATCTATTGTGTTTACATAGAAATAGATATCACATACTTTAAGATCTTGATTATTGTTTTTATTATTATTGTTTGTGTTTATTGTTAACATTGTATACATTGTATTGAATATACTTTATTGCTTATCTTTCTATCTGTTACTACTCTACTGAACTAACAAATTAAATCCTAGAACCAATTCGCGTAAAAGTATTTCTCTCTCGGTTGAAAGAAAGTGCTGTCGTGTGGTTTGTTCGGTTTAATTTGTTTTTAGCGTTTGTTTGGTTGGTAATTTATTTGATTGAACGGCATAACAGTATCAAAATTGGAAAAATAGGAATCCCTAAAGAAAGATCAAAACGGCAAAATTGAAAATGTTGCAAGCTCGATTTGATTAAGCCTGTTCATGGACTATACTGTCAAGTGCAAACTACCGTCCACGCCCCCTAGCACCGACTTAAGCAGTATTTAACATTTAAACATGAAAAAGATACAAATTTGCATTAAGAAACATCCGCAGATGTGTTCATACGGCGGCACAAATAAGACGTCAAAAACAAATTAAAAAAGCAGGCAACATATCCTAAGGGTGATTCAACAGTTTCAAGTGAGGAATACTGGAACCACCAAACAAGAAAATAGCCGAATAGAAAAACTAAAATTAATTACCTCAAGCACAACAACAATGTCGTGCTGAACGATCTTTAAGGATCGGAAATATAACATCCCCGATTGAATGTACACGGCACAAACAACGCTGATGTGTCGATTTAATAGAGAAAATAAGAATCCCTTAAGAAAGCCCAACACGGCAAAATTGAAAATGTTGCAAGCTCGATTTAATGCAGCCTGTTCATGGACTATACTGTCAAGTGCAAACTACCGTCCATGTTCCCCTAGCACCGGCTTTAGCAGTATTCATCATTTAAACATGAAAATGGTAAAAATTTGAATTTAAAACCATCCGCAGATGTGTTCATTTGGCGGTTATCATGGAACTTTTAATGTAACACGTTAGTGCCATTTCATGAAAAGCGGCGTATGGTCCCCAAGTAAAATAAAATGCGTGTGCCCTAAACGAGAAAACAATGAAGGAACGAGGAAACTAAATAAAATGGAATTTGAAAGGGCATCAGAGGTTATGAAGCCTGCATATCACAGATATGACGACAAAGGACAAATTCAAAAAGCAGGCAACATATCCTAAGGGTGATTCATTATTATTAAAGTAGGAATATTGGAACCACCCAACTAGAAAAATTCCAAAAGGTAAAAACTAAAAGTACCATAAGCACACCAATATTATCATGCTGAACGATCATTAGGGAAAGAAAATATAACATCCCTTGTTGAAGTACGGGGCGATTTTTACAGCCTCCACACGGCACAAACAACGCTGATGTTGCGATAAAATACGCGATAAAATACGTAGAGAGAAATAAAGAATTCCTAAAGAAAATAAGATAAACAAGATCAACAAGGAAAGGCGGCGTTCAATGAACGCAGTCCCCAACCGACCCAGTAACAAGGGCCAGTGGCAAGGAGCCCAGGAGGACCCCAAACAAAAACAGGACAGGGTACAAGACAGAGCACGCCCAACAAGACAAAACTGAAAATGTTGCAGGCTCGATTTGATGGAGCCTGTTCATGGATGGTAATGGTAAGTGCAAGTAACCGTCCACAACTCCTAGCACCGGCTTAAGCAGAGTTCAAAATTTAATCATGATAATGGTGAAATTTTGAATAAGGGCAACATTATTCAAGTAGGAATATTGGAACCACTGATCAAGACAAATGTCAAAAAGAAAAAAACTCAAAGAACCACAAATACAACAATAATGTCGTGCTGAACGATCTTTAAGGATCGAAAATATAACATCCCTAATTGAATATACGGGGCGACTTTTTACAGCCTCCACACGGCACAAACAACGCTAATGTGTCGATAAAATAGAGAAAAATAAAGAATTCCTAAAGAAAGCCCAACAAGGCAAAATGTTGCAGGCTAAGTTTGATTGAGCCTGTTCATGGACGGAAATGGAAAGTGCAAGTTACCGTCCACGCCCCATAGCACCGGCTTAAGCAGAATTCATCATTTAATCAAAGCAGAAGTCAACATTTAATCATGGTAATGGTGACATTTTGAATTTAGAAACATCCGCAGCTGATTTGATTCTGGAACATAACATTTTTAGTAACTCCGACCACTTCTTGCTAAACTCTCAAAGTTATAACAAATTCTTTGTATTTACAAGTTGACTCATTTATATATTTATTATAGAAGAAATATTTGTGTTTGCTATTTGATCATGATATTAGATTTCTTCTATTACAATTACAAAGTCTGGTATGTATATATTTATTATTTGTGAAAATGTTCTTATTGTAATTTGAATTGTTGTCAAACATTTTGTATCATTTATTTTGCGAAATATGTTTGTCTTGTAAAATACCGGTATTGTAATGTGATGTCTTATTGTTCTTTATTTTTATTACAGGCTTGTTGCTGGGTCGTGTGGGGGTTGCGTTCATTGAACGCCGCCTTTCCTTGTTGATCTTGTTTATTATATTTTATTCTTTATAGAATAAATATACATGTATATTAAAAAACCCATTTAGTGTAACCTTCAAAACCCCACCTCTACAATAACTCTTAATTATAGTTAACATTTTCTACCTTATCATCATCATCGTCATCATAACCGTCATCATCATCATCATCATCGTCATCTGAGCTTGTCAGATTTCTTTTATGTGTTATCTTGCGTAGCTGTGCTCGCTCCCGGAGTTCTCTAAATGTGTTAGCAGTTCTTCGGTTCATGCGAGATAGCTTTCCAACCCTGCCAGCAACTGTTTTTGATTGTGGAGATAGCTATAAAAGTAAAATGAGTAAGTTATCTCTATTGACACTTAAAAAATGTGTTATAAAGTCAAAGTATTTTCTTTCCCCTTCAAAAATTCAAATATTAGTGTGATCCTAAGTACCTTATGAAATTCAGACATACGTGATATTTTAGCGAGACTTCTTTTTTAACCTTCTAAAACCAACTACAACGTATTGTTAATGTAACTAACACACTGTAAACAGTTGACACTGACAGTTAATATTTGATATGCATTAAATCGTTCTTTCGAATTTCAAAACTTGCCGCCGTTCATTAAGATTTCATTTCGGTGATGTTTTATAATTTTGATTGTTGCTTTTTGTTTAATAACTTCCTCTCACTTATTTAGAGGGCATTGAATAGATTGTGTTACTTTTTTTTTCTTTATTACCTTAACAACGTAAAACAAAAATTGATTCATCTTATTCTATTTCATTAATTATATGGTTTGATAACTTTAAGTCATTTACAAAGAAGGCAGACGAGCGTTTTAAATGTTTAAATGGTAATTTTATCTTCAAGTTTTATGTAATATTGAAGCTTTATTTACATCATCAGATTCTTCTTCATATGATTCTTCTTCATCTGATTCGAAAGGTAAAGACGTGTATTCTCTCTCTCTCTTTCATGTGCCCACTGTGAGGAATGTAAATAAAAATTAAATATCCTACATATAAATATCCTACATATAAAGAAACTTAAATACAAAAAACACTTGTATAAAACATGTTGTTAAAAATGAAAAATATGATGAAATTCATAAGCGTTTTCTTTTGAAAACATTTAAAAAGAAAACAGAAATCTCAAAATCCCCAATACATATTTAGACTTTTATTGAAGCTCCTTTACTGAACTAGATCAACCAATCACAAAGCAAAACATAATTTCCGCCGCCAAGAAACTCGGTTTTAATATTCGTGTTCATAAGAAGATATGTTATATATATCGTATGTTTTAAAGAAAGTATATTCAATTAAACTAGTGTGTTACAATAATTCAAATATATACTTTTAAGGTGTTCTTTGTAACTGGTCTACAGAAGTATTGATACCAATACAAACCAACAGCGATCATTTATCACATGTGTCGCCTAATGTTTAGCCAATTGCACATTGCAGCTTCTGTTAATCAGGAGACACAAAATTATTAACAGAACTTAAGCTTATTATAGTGAAAAGCCTAGCGAAGACAACTTTAAAAACGGGTATTGATGGTGCCAAGAAAGATGTAGTTGATAATTTGCTTGTAAGAAGATCTCAGGTGATCAACAGACGGGTGTTTTAGTATGGTTTAACATTGTACATAATTCAAGACACAAACGGTACCTGTGTAGAACGAAGAGAGTGGTAAAGGGTAGTTTTAGTAGGGAAAGAGCAAGAGAAATTTATCATTTGTTGAATGCAGTTTTTGACAATTTAATAGGCATGTCTTCTTTTAGAAAAGTATTTATACAATAAAATAACTTTAAATAACATTTATTTGGAATCTAGTCACACGAGAGCAGAGACAAATTTGATCGCATTTTGTTGACATTTGGCAGCCGAGGAATTCCACCTACAGTCACATGGTAATATGGCTCGTTATCAGGATGAATTGTACTCAAACTTTATCACTTTTGCTTTTCATAGATATTGTTTCAGATTATATTTCATTGTTATTTCATTTTATCGAACACTGGTCACTTCCATTAATGACATACATAACGCATAGAATTATCCAATATGTGTACAAATGTAATTCACTTGTTTAGAACAGTTTTGAAAAGCATACATATTTGTAAAATTCATTGATCAAAATCAGCTCTGTAGGCTTTTCTGTTAAAAATACCAAAGCAGTACAGTACAAACTTTATAAAAACGGACCATTAAAAACCGGTATGCTCTGAAACCAGAGGATATTAAAAGTCCCATATTTTTCCTTATATACATTTTATTGAATAATTTCCTCTAAATACGGGAACCTCTAAATTCCGAAAAACGGACGATTTCCTATGGCTACTTATGCTAAGCATGCAATATAAATCTTCTGAAAACCGGAAAGCAATCTAAATGTCACATTACCGCATTACTGTGTATTGTAATGTGGATTAAAACATAATCCCATGTGTGATATGTTCAATTACAGTTAATGGTCCTGGTTATTTTGTGCAGGTGTGAAAAACACTTGTCAATGTGTGACCTGTCAATAAATTTATTATTAGCAATTGAATTTTAGTTTTTTTTATCATAAATGTGTCTTTCACTTCATAAGTATGATTATAGGTGATTTATTTATTCATTACACTCTTTGAAATTACAACAGGGAAGTAAAATTTTTCTAAATTTTACAATTTCTACCTGCTCATGATCATCTGTTTCATCTGAGCTTGTCAGATTTCTTTTATGTGCTTTGCGTGGCCGCTCTCGCTCCATGGGTACTCCATATTTTTCAAGAAAATATATTCTTCGATATAAGCAAGATAGCTCTCTATTCCTCTCAGCAGAGGTCAAATATTGCTATGAAGTAAAATCAGAAAGTTATATCCACTGATACTTAAACTAAGTTATAAAGTCAAAATTTTTAACAATTGTTTTTGCCTACTCTTAAAAGATTCAAATATAAGTACTTTATGCAACTCATATATACTTGATGTTTTTGCGAAGATTCTTGTTGCAATAAACAGTGATCTGTAATGTTTTATAACCTAACCAATCAAAGAAGGGATTCATTTCAACAGTTTCAAATGTTCTTCTACATGTAAATTTTAACTAACACAATTATAACATATGACACGGGCAGTTCATATTTGATTTGCATAAAGTCGTTTTTCAAAACTTGTCGCACAGTTATAAAGTTTTCGTTGATGTAATTATTTTTTTGATTTTTATGTTTTGTTTTATAACTTCCTCTCATTTACTTAGAGTGCTACTTTGACTTTATAAATAAAACTGCGTTTAGCTTAAAATTGAATCATCTTATTCTATTCCATTAAATATAAATGGTTTGGTAACTTTTAGTCATTAACAAAGAAAGCAGTGTTTTAAGAATTTAAATGTCTAAATGTTAATTTCTATTCAAGTTCATATGTTTTTATGTAACACCGAAGCTATATACCCCCTCTGCTTCTTCATCATTTTCTTCAACGGATGCTTCATGCGCCTGCCCTTTCTCGGCAGCAAATGGACTTTGGCGTCCTTTTAAAAGTTTGCCAGCTCTTTCCTTGATTTCTTTCCGTGACGGCTTTGACACCTTCCATGAAAAAATCATGTTGCACATATTACTTTTATTCAACCAAAATTAAATATGCTATATATATTTTTTTGAATTTTCTCATTCAAGTTTTTCATTGTATGGACTTTATACTTCTTTCAAAATGAAAATGTATATGCACACTTTCAATCAAGCTTTCTATTTTCAATGACATGAAAGTTTAGTTCATAGATTTTTCAAGTATGTCTACTTTGAAGTGAATATCTTTAAACGCTTTCATGTTGATAAAGTAAAGTGCCTTAACTTATGAGTTACCAGTCCAAAGTAAAAAAATATCATAAAAGTCACCCTTTCTTTTTTATTATCTTCTTCCTTCCCTGCCAAGTCCTCTTCGTTTATAACGTCCAGTATCAGTTCTTTTTTGGAAGGCGTTTCTAGACCATTATGAGAGTTACGATCGCGCCTTTTTTTCCGGTCCTGCTTAGCAATTTTCTTGGATTGAGGAGATTCCTTTCAAGAGAAAGTTATGGTACCACTATGAACCTTTTAGAAATGTTATCATTTATTTTGGCATCTATGTTTTAGAGATAATTGCATGATTACACGTTTTATCACTAAAACATTGACAAAATGTGTTGAATCAAAGTATCTTTTACATAACTCTTAGGCTGGGTTAAAAATTCAAGACAACATATGAAACATTTAATTTAGTGTTAAAATGATAATAATAACAACAACAGAACGAAATTACTTTTCATTTTCATCATTAAACTAAAGCAAAATTTTGATATTCCATCAAAGATTAAGTGACTTTCATATTAATGGAAAATGTTTCAATACCTTTATCAAATATTTCAATTTTCTCAAAGGGAAAAGTACCACAGTAAATAGTACTACATACATACGAAAAACGAATTATAAGAAATAGTGCAAAAGTAAATTACCCTAAAATATTCTTTTGTTAAAGCGGATAGTTTCTAAAATGTAAGATACAGTCATCCACACGAACTAGAAATGTTTTGAATAGCGTTTATTTGGAAGCTAAAAGCAACTTAAATATCTTATGCATGTACACATTGATATATTCAATAAAACGATCTAGCAATTATAAAAAGAGTATTTTATATAAAATTTTGGAAAGCTTGATCATATTTAACGTGCCCGGCCTAAATTTCTGAATTTTTCTAAACAGATTACTGGGAGGAGATTCCGTTGTGAAAAGCAAAATGTGCAACAAACGTCAAAATGATTCCATTAACTGTTGTTCTTTTATGCGACTCCTGTGTCAGCGGTCCAGCCTTGTCAACAAAGCCACGCTTTCCTCTTGATAGTTTTCCAACTGTGTCATTACTTTTTAATGTTTTGTAATTACATGAAGTTATATAACAAATTTTAATCATATATACATAGTTTCATGAATGCTGTGTTAGGAGATAGATTCTGCATTTTGCAATCAAACACATTTCATAAAACTATGAGAATGTGTTACATAGGCGCACAACTTTTCGTTTTAAATCACACTTCTCTTGTGTTTATCTTCTCAGTGTTTGATTCGGGTTATCTGACTGTCCTCATTGTTTGAGAATAAAACTTACCAAAATATTGTGCAAAAATAAATTTCAGAGATATCAATTCATTTTAAAAGAGCTGTCCATTATTGATAACACTATTCAATTTTTGATTATATTTCAATATTCACTAAAAAATAGTTACTTTAATGAGTGACATTAACAATAAAATATTTACCAACATACAAGCCAACACAGTGTCATTGAAATTTCCATATTTTCGCAAATATAAAACTTTTATCAATCTTAGTTTTAGAAGTAAACAAAATAAAACTAGAAATTGTCACAAGTGCCGGACAAGTGTCACGGACCGACCAACCGACCACCAGCTGACTCCAGTATACCCCTAAAACTTTGTTTGTCGGAGGTAAAATCATATTTTATAGTTTTGCAAAAAGGTGGTGCACACAGAGGAGAAAAAATATCGTCACGCGATGTTATTGCATGTTTAAAATATGCTCTGTCAGAACATAAATCTAATCCCTAATGGGATAATGAGTATTACGCTAAACAAATAATAATGTTTACTGATTTTTATAGGTTTATAGGATCATTCCACCAAATACATTGTACTTCTTACTCCCCTCTTTGTTAACCAAATCAAAGAATTTTTATTAAAATTTAAAATAAACTAGTCCTGTAGCTATAGGACACATTAAGTTCCACCTACACCTTTGTGCAAGGCTTGGTAAATTACTGTTAGTATAGTAAAATATGCTTCCATCCTGGGTTTATTTTACTAACAATCATGACTGGTATGCATCTACATATCACATGTTAAACAAAGTTGCATAATATTTCGTTCCAGTAACTGTAAGGTTAAGTAAATGTCTATCCTGAATTGGACAAAATCATTTCACTTAAACTAAGAAATTAGGTTAGGACCTCGTTTGTAAATCTGACGTAAGATTTACCTTTTTGACATCATCTTTTTCCACACCCGAGATTGACATATCTTCTTCAACTGTTCTATCCAATGATTGATCAGGGATCTTTTCATCATCTTTATTAGACAACTTTCCAACCGTGTCATCAATCGTTTTTGATGGTAAGGATTGCTTTGAGAAGAGATAAAAATTTGTTCTATTCTAAGCAGTGAGTTTTAATCTTTGTGACAAAATCAATATATCCCACAATATATCATCACAGTGTGGGTGACAAGGTCTACTAAACTAGATTTGGCGTATGTTTTAATTTTGTTCCGTAAATTTGTTAAATAAACAGATCATTATACACGGTTTGCAATTATTGTCGAGTAAAAGAGGGACGAGAAACGAACATATTATTTCAAATAGTTTGATTTGTTGTAAGCAACTTTGGATGCCGATTGCATTCAGACTGGTAAGCGACTTGAATGAGTTTCTGTCTGCGAGAGATAAAATCAACTTATTCTTTCACTAATTTATTAGAAAACTCCGGTTTTATTTGTTTGTTTGTTGTTTGTTCCCAAGGACCCAGTCCAGTTGATTACAAGAACTGGTTGAACCGGGTGATGCTCCCCGACACAGAAAAGAATACCTCTTGTAGTGTCAGAGTTATGCCCCGGACAAAGTTCAAAGGGTAAAAAGGAACAAAGGAAAATAACTCTAATATTAGGCATGGCAGAGTTATAGTTCTTGTGAGAGTTATAGTTCTTGTGCACTGCAAATTTACTCAATGAGATCTATCTGCCTACAAAGTTTCATGTTGATATCTCTTATCATTTTAGAGATGTGACCCGGACAAAGTTCAAAGTATAAAAATAAACAAAGGAAAATAACTCCAAAATTAGGCAAGGCAGAGTTATGGTTTTTGTGCATTGCACGTTTACTCAATAAGATCTATCTACCTACAAAGTTTCATGTTGATATCTCTTATAGTTTAAGAGTCATGTCCCGGACAAACTTTAAATTGTAAAATGAACAAAAGGAAATAACTAAAAATAGGAAAGATAGAGTTACGGTTCTTTTGCACTGCAATTCTACTCACCCATTAAGATTCATGTTGATATCTATTATAGTTTTAGAGCTATGTCCAGAACAAACTTCAAAGTATAAAAATGAACAAAGGAAAATAACTACAAAATTAGGCAAGAAAGAGTTACAATTCCTTTGCTTTGCACCTCTACTTAATGAGATCTATCTACCTGCAAAGTTTTATGTTGATATCTCTTATACTTTTAGATTTATGTTCCGGACAAAGTTCAAAGTATAAAAATAACTTTAAAATTAGGCATGGCAGAGTTATAGTTCTTGTGCAGTGCACACCTGCTCAATGAGATCTATCTACCTACAAAGTTTCATGTTGATAACTCTTATAGTTTTAGACTTATGTCCCGGACAAAGATTAAAGTATAAAAATGAACAAAGGGAATACCTTCAAAATTAGGCAAGGTAGAGTTATAGTTCTTGTGCGCTACACACATTCTCAGTGAGATCTTTCTACCTACAAAGTTTCATGTTGATATCTCTTATGGTTTTAGAGTTATGTCCCGGACAAAGCTTAAAGTATAAAAATGAATAAAGGGGAATAACTTCAAAATCAGGCATGGTAGAGTTATGGTTCTTATGCATTGCACACCTACTCAATGAGATGTATCCACATACAAAGTTTCATGTTGATACCTTTTGTTGAGTTATGTCCCGGACAAGAATAGCGGACGAACGGACAAAGCGGCAACTATATGCTCACCCCTCGGGGAGCATAAAAATGGTCTAGAACATCACGATTAAATTCATGCTGAAGTGTTTAACCTGTTCTCTTTCAGTAATAGTCCCAAACCGTTTTTAACGTTTTTTTGCTCCCTTTCCTAATGTAATATCATTGCCAAGTAATTGTGCATGTAAAGGAAAAGATAAACATCGATGCTATTCCTTTATAACTGCTGTTATATTTGTAATAACTGTAACTGAATTAGGGTGTAAACTAAATTTACCATTTTGACATCTTCTTTTTCCACATCAGGAAGTGACAAATCTTTTCCATTTGTTCTATCAAGCACAGGAAGTTTTTCATCATCTTTAATAGACAACTGTCCAACCATGTCATCAATTGTTCTAGATGGTAATGATTGCTTTAAGAAGAAATTAAACGGTGAGATACTAGCTTTTATCCGTTTTGTCTATATCACACGCATTATAATGAAGCTCTGTCGATTTTTTTTGCGCCCGTTTTAATTTGTATGATTCCGTGTAAATTTGTATTTACATAAAAATAATTGTTTCGTTGCGTTTTGTTCTAAATGACATATTTCTCGATTCAAATATCATTAAAAGGGTTTTTTGTCACAAAACACATGTTTCCCAAAACAAAGTATTGTACTGATCACTGTGAATTTTTGTCAAAATCCCGCAAGCTGTTTGACCGATAAAAGCCAGACAAGATTCTTTTTTTTATAGCTCTGACGGCCATTTTGTGCATCAAAGCGAAACACGCTGGCGATTAGCATAGCTACGGTTGGTACTGGTCACTCCTGTGCAGTTTCATTGAAATCCCACAACCAACTTGACCTGTGAAAGTCGGATAAGATTTTTCTAATTAGACCTTTGGTGGCCATTTTGTGCATCCAAGTGTAACATTTGGCGATATGCACAACTAAGGATGATATTGCGCACTCCTGTGAAGTTTCATTGAAATCCCACCACCAGTTAGACCAGTTAGCCGGACAAGAGTTTTCTTATATAGCTCTGGCGACCTTCGCACATGATGAAACTTTGTATGCAGTGAAGCAGAACGTGCCGGCCATATATACAAGTAGGAATGGTACTGATCACTCCTGTGAAGTTTCATTGAAATCCCGACCGCAGTTCAATATAAGAAAGCTCAGGTGGCCATTTTGTGCAGCGAAGCAAAAAGTGCCGGCGATATGCATAACTAGGGATAGTACTTCTATGAAGTTTCATTGAAATCCTGTGAAAGCTTGACAATATTGGTCTATTTATAGCTCTGGCTGCCAATTTGTGCAGCGGAGCAGAACGTATGGGCGATATGCACAACTATGGATGGAACTGGTTTCATTGAAATCTGCCCAGCAGTTTTACCTGTGAAAGCCGGACAAGCTGAATGCGGACGGATAGACATACTGAAAGTCAAGGGCTGGGTAAACATTGTTATTCCGTTCTTTTTTGTCTTCATTTTACATTGTTCGCTTTAAAGGTGTCATTGCGTATTCCCATAAACTAAATTTGTTAACTAACATTATAAGTCATACTGTATGAAGGCATTAATCGATCAAACCTTATCTGTCTATTCAGAGATACTGTGTAATCTTCGGAGTGGACCCTCTTGTAAAGAAATAAGCTATTTTCCCAATCACTATAACTACTCCGCCACGGACGACACACTCCTTAAGTCAATGATTATTATGGAAGTCATTGGTTTCAAAGCGAAATCAGTGATTTCTACAAAAGTCAGTGGTTAAGAAGGCAAATGATTGCTAAAGATGTCGGTGGTCGCTAAGGAAAGGCAACGGTTACAATGGAAGTCACTTATTGCTATAAAAAGACAATGTTTGCTATTTACTCTATGTGAAATCGAGTGAACCCCGGCTCAGTTAATTCTAATTGCACTGTTTACCACAAAGTTACTTCCAACACATATGTAAACATAAAGGATTTTTGGAAGAAAAAAACATGATCCCACGGACGTACTAATTTTGAACTAAATAATTATGGCGACCGATAGCGTCCATATAAAGTCCGATTTAAATTTTACCGCCAATTTATAAAATGTCACGGCAACTTTTAAACCCGCGAGACTTTTTGTGGTTTATACAATTCCCGCGACATTTTGTATGATTTCGGCATAAAATCGAGCAGGTTAGTAAGATGCCCGCGTCATTTTATGATAAAAAGATAAAATTTCTTGTGGGCTAGAAATGACTGCAGCATGTCACCATAAAGACTATTATTTAGGTCTCACACAAGTCAATATCACAATTAGTACACTTCCTTTTCTGATGTATATGATATGCGGCAAAAGGCACACCGTACCCAATGACAAATTCAACGCAAAACGTTAACATGTGTAAAATATGCAACGCAAAACATCCACACATCAACGATTTGCGGAGGTGTCACATCGCCTAACTATTGTAATATAATATTATTGTTTCTAAGTAAATGATATAGTGTTTCTGAATTAATCTGACGATTAAATATTGTAGAAGAAAACATTTAATGGCCTTGTTTATTGTTACTATTTCTTTGTATTTTACGCCTTTCTGAAAGGGAGGCCCTTCCAATTTCTTTAATAATGGAAATGATTGAACACCTGTAAGTACGAAGCATGATTCGTATTAATGTAGTAGCTGTTTCAATGCTTATTTTTCATATGGTCAACATCCGTTTTAGGACACTGATTTATTTTCAAAAATAATCTTACCTCTTCCAGGTCAGGATGTCGATGTTTAGATTTTTTTCTGAAATTAGATGAATATCAATAATTCAGTTGTACATTTAATACGCCTATTTGGTTGTTTCATTTCTGGCATACAAACATAAGTGAGGTTATATGTTTCAGTGTATTGATTTATATGATAAGTTCATAGCTTAGGTAAGTTTGAAAACCATTTGAGCCGCGTCACGTCAAAACCAACATAATGGATTTGCGGCCAGCATGGATCCAGACTAGCCTGCGTATCCGCGCAGTCTGATCAGGATCCATGCTGTTCGCTATCAGTTTGTCTACTTGTAATATAGTTGGTAAGCGAGCAGCATGGATCCTGATCAAACTGCGCGGATGCGCAGGCTGGTCTGGATCCATGCTGGTCGCAAACGCACTATGTTGGTTTTGTCGTGACGCCGCTCATTTGTTCATCTGCAATTGAAATATACATGTACATCTATTTAAATCAATATGATTTTAGATGCAGATACATTTTGTAAATCAATTTGCTCACTGACTGACCGCTTAGATATATTTTATATAAAAATCTAAACTTATCCATATGATGAAACATGTATCACTAACATGTTTACTTCATTTTGATTGTTTCCCAAATGTGTTTAAAGATATTACTAGTTTTACCGCTTTTTACGATGTTTCTTGTTTTGGTCCGATGTTTGGTTCTCAGCGGTCATCATGTTCTCGTCTCGAGATTTCACGTTATGTTCGAGAACGGTGTCCGGTGAAATCTCGTTTTCTGGTGTTGGTGTATCTGAGTGTAACACTTTATTTGCCCGTTTTGTCATAGCTAAAATAGTAGATCAATCAATAAATGCCAAATCAAAAAGCAGAATACAGACATAATTATGATCGACATTACATATTCATTTGAAAGTTTTATTTTTCTTCAAAGAAAAAACAAAAAAACAAACAAACAAACCATTTAAGACCTTGACAAATAACGCTTATATATAACAGACGTGACATCTATAAAACTTTAACTGGTATGAGTCACTATATAAAAGTTAATTAAAAATAACAATTTAAATTTAGCAATCTCATTACAAAATATAATTTATTTGGAATAATTTTTCATTTTGTATGTTGTTTAATGTACAATATACTAGAACTTTTATGAGAAAATTGCATTTTCCTTTAACTCCACAAAAATAGATAATAACACAAAATATAAATATGTTGAGTACGTTTGTCACTGTGTATCTCAATATATGTACTTTTGTAACAGTACAGATTTATTCAAATGTATTTTTATTTTAACGAAAAACTCATTTATACAAAAGCCTTATATGTCAAGGCGTTCTAACGCGAATAAAGGCGTTATATAACGCCTATCAAAAGGCGTAGTAACGGAAATCAAAAGACGTGAAAAGGCGAGAAAAAAAAAACACGAACGATGGCTTAGTGACGCAAATAAAGGCGAAGTAACGCGAAAGTAAGGCGTGGTTACGCGAATTAAAAAGCGTAATAACGCGAATCAGACTGCGTTATTACGCGAACAAATGCTATAACAATGTATTTATCATTTTGTCAATAGAATATCTCACATAGAAACCATACATAATGTAAAATTATTAGTATTATTTATTTCTATTTATTTGTTTATGCTTTATTTAAATCCCCCATCATTTCACGATAAAGCATATTTTATTGTCCTCAAGTTAAAATAGTCTTTTTTATGTAGATGTAATAAAGTCGACGTCAGAAACCTAAATTCGAAAGGTTTGCTTGAGCATTTGAAAGTTCACATTAACTACGATTCGCTCTTGATAATAACGATTTTCCGAATGATTAGAAATTAATTCTTACTTTTGACGTTTACCAGTTTAGCATCATGTATCATTATATGATATATTGTGCAGCAATCGATTGAAGGATAAAAAAATTACCATGCGCACAATCGTCTGATCTATTTGCATTCAGTTAACGGGTGTGTTTATGATTTAAGTCAATATTTACAAAATAAAACGCAACGGTTTAGAATTACAGTAGAATAATGAATGCATAGTTTGCTTAGATGTTTTTCGTTTGAAAAGACATAATTAATCGTCTAGGTCCTTAAACATGTACCAACCTGTGATGAAATTTTATCTTTTTATGACATTTTATTTTAAAAAAAAACAAACTCTCCAACCTAATGACTTGGAATCTATGTCCCTGCTTTAGATTTACCTAAAAATATCAGATGTAATACATCAGGGCCCGGTTGTTAACGATATTCAACAGATAAAATATCCACTGGCTAGAATTTGTCTGTTGGATTAAAATACTGTTGCTCAATATTAAGTTATCTTACGGATAAAAAGTATTATCCAGTGGTTAACTCTACCAGTCTATAACCACCGAATAATGCCATTCACAAGTGATTTGGCATCATCAAGACATAGGCTCGTACATGTATAATATAATTTTATTCAACTGGTTCAATAAATAGAGTATTAGACCTACACTTAGTCAGTATTCGCTATTTATAAGACCATGAAAAGAGACATAAAGCATACTAAAGCATAAAAAACAAGTTTTTTTTCTATATTAATATTGAACACTAGGGAACGAAGGAACGGGTTTGTAATTTGAATAAAAAAATATTTGGATTTTATTCATTTATACTAACATAATTCCTGTCACGTGGTTATCATATATAGGGATAAGACATTTTGATCTGATATTATCCGTCCTCACTCCCTCAAGTCCCTCTTGCAACCTCCAAATATATGATTTAAAGTCAATTTCCACATTTAGTATTCATAGACACTATTACACAATTTTCACAATACCACTATCAGGGCTGGGAATCAAAACTGCGTCGTATCCTACAAAATGTAAACAAACGCCGCCATCTTGGAGCAAAAAATGTATGTTTTTGTTTATAACTCTTTTTGTTGGAAATGACTGAAAACAAGATATATGTATTAACACGCTACACTATTTTCCGCTTCGTTCGGTATATGTTGCTTGCACAACTATTTTGTAAAACAAAAGTTATAGCGAACTTGCAACTCGAAGCGGGGCAGAATGTTTATGAAAATGTGTGGATACGACGCAGTTCATATTGCTTTATCTATCGTTTTTCCTTCAAATCAATTATATACTCGTTTTCAGAGTTCACCATAAACGTCAAAACATAATTTTGCATCATTTACTAAACTTTCATTTAAAAGAGATGTTTATTTTCCAAGAAAATAATGATTTTTACGAAATGATACGACGCAGTTGAAAATAAAATATGATACGACGCAGTTGTATTTTCATTGCAGGCTGAATATTGGTTAAACTATTTAAATTATGTGCTAGGTATGCCAATAACGTCCTACAACATTTCTTGTCTACAACTTAAGTCAAAAACAGAGGTCACTCATTGGTTTCATAAAAATGGAAATGTAATACAATTCTATTAAGGCTGCATTTTTCGGTCGCATTTTAGTACTAATCATAATCATCTACAAATTCCGAAAAGCTGTATCAAATGCAATATACATTGAAACACGTGATCGCACACCCATATGACAACGTGTTCTACTGTTGCCTTAGCATGCTAATAAACTTGTTCACGTGAGTTCGAAATGGGAGTGATTACTATTTTTGATACAAAATTCAATATTCCAGTGTAACCTCCACTGGACCCTGTATTAATCAGGAATGACTTTTTTCTTAAAAAAAAAAGAGAAAAAATTACAAATTTTGAAAAGGTCTCTCGCTATCGGGAATGCGCAAATTGCATGCCTACCGTTGTTACTTGTAATGAGCAATAATTTCCGTCAATTCCGTTATTACTTATGTCTTTTACGTGCCAATTTTATTGTATTCATTTTCTTAATAATCGACGAGGACAGATGAGCTTTATTATTTGAAACTGAGCATTAAATTTTTAAAATAATATTATAAATGGTTAAGCTACAATATATTTTTGCAAGAAGGTTATGCGTTCCGTTTAGTCATTTTATGTTCAGCGCCGCGGAACTTTACCCCTGCGTTTCTTTATCGCCGATGAGGAAATGTCTACGGAATTTATTTTCTATACTTGCACGTGAGTATCATTCTTCTCCATCAAAAAACTTTTCAAAATCGAATTACATATGATACAACTACAAATTATTTTATAAAAAAGGTGTCCGTTTTGCAAAGGTATTTTACGCTATGCACCGATAAATTTGATACAGATATAGACAGACATGATCTTTCAACAGTATTGAAGAATTATTAAGTTTTCACAATATTGAACAGAAAATGTCAGATTATCGTATCGAATTTTCAACAGACTAGAGACATGACATCTTAACATACCTTCATACTAAAGTGGGGTTTTTATTTGATAATGAATTGCCTGAAAACTTAAACAAAAGTTTCAGAAAATGACTTCACAGAGGATTACCCCATGTTTACATTGAAAATTTCTCTGCTATTAATACCGAAATAGGAAATTTAAATTTTATTCTCTTTATAATTATTTCAAATATTTATAATCTTAAAACTTCACGCCAGAAGTTAATACAAAAAAGCTGCTTATTTGTACAGCTGACGTTAACAAATTTTGTTGAAAAAACAAATCAGACAGGTGTGTCCGACCGAGGCCGAGCTGTTTATGTTTACTGAATTCACTTGAACTGAACTGCTATGAATTCGAAAACCACCTGGGACTTTTTATCCTTTTGTGTGGAAAACCTATCAAGCTAGTTTCAAAATGTCGACGGTTCTCTGCAGGTACAACATTTTGCCTGAAATAATGCACAGAGGCGCACCTGAGGTCCTCGCCCCTAGTAAAGCTAATGTGTAGAGTGAAAGTTTGAAAAAGAAACCACAAAAAAGCAGTCAATACCCAGAACATGCAGAACCACAGTTAACTTAGAGCGTAGCTAGCCAAAATGAATTTGAGTTAATAGATTTCTACATTTTTTTTTTGCGAAAAAAATTAGGGATAATATTGAACATACAGGAAAATATAAGAAATTATTTCAGATATTATGATCAATAAGGTAACATGTTCATGTTTAACTGAAAAGTAGCTTCCGCAATGTCAACTTTCAAATTAAATGTTATATTGGATATGACACATTGTATTCTAAATAATCAACAGAACATTGCTTTACACCGCAAATGATCTGGGATTTTATCTAGCGCAAGTGATTATTCATAAAATAGAAATATATTGCCAAACTTATCCCTGTTGAAAAGACTGCCAAAAATACAACTGCGTCGTATCATATTTTATTTTCAACTGCGTCGTATCATTTCGTAAAAATCATTATTTTCTTAGAAAGTAAACATCTCTTTTTAATAAAATTTTAGTAAATGATGCAAAATTATATTTCGAAGTTTATGGTGAACTCTGAAACAAATATATAATTGATTTGAAGGCAAATACGATAGATAAAGCAATTTGAACTGCGTCGTATCCACACATTTTCATAAAAATTCTGCCTCGCTTCGAGTTGCAAGTTCGCTATAACTTTTGTTTTACAAAATAGTTGTGCAAGCAACATATACCGAACGAAGCGGAAAATAGTGTAGCGTGTTAATACATATATCTTGTTTTCAGTCATTTCCAAAAAAAAGAGTTATAAACAAAAACATACGTTTTTCGTTCCAAGATGGCGGCGTTTGTTTACATTTTGTAGGATACGACGCAGTTTTGATTCCCAGCCCTGACTATGGTATTAGTTATAAAAGGGTAGCAACTCTTACGCCCTTTCAGTGTTTTGATTCACTCAGCAAACCTCATTATATTTTTAAAATCTTGGTCTCGATCAATAAAGTAAAGATATACATGTATGTTTTCAATGACAAGTATAGATATATGTATGCAATGATATCTTCCATATTAAGCAGTGTTAAGTATTTTGTTTTATCAGCCGGTAACATAAAATTTGACAAGATCTGAGTCATGTAAGCATTGAAATTTCTAAGACTGAATCCCTAAAAGGAGACAATGTTGCGTAGCAAATAAAAACTAAACTCACCAACAAAAATTATTTGTCGAGTGAAATATACGTTAATTCATTTACAAAATTACAAACCTTGAAGGAATGATCCAAATATATTCTCAAGTCCTGTTTACGATTTGAATATGGCTACATAACACCGCTTTTAAACATAAATGTACAGTGGAGACTGAACGAGTGACCGAAGCGATATTTCACTATAAATGGTATGTCTGTATTCCTTGTTATATGTAAAGGCTGTGCACTGAAGCATGTCTTAAACCACAGAATAGCTGATGTTTATCAATTGACAGATTTATCGATTGACAGAGGTAAAATTTAAAATCTATAAATGTGTTTGTCTTTGTGTTTTAAATTTTGTCCTGCTTTTACTCGATTTGTTTGCTTTAAAACCTATCAAAACTTATGGTATGAAGACATGATACAGTTGATTTAATTATTTTCTCATGAAACTAATTTAACTACGGCTATGAAACTGCAATTCAGTCTAAATCTTTATGGTTAAACACGGACCTTAATTGTCAATTAAAGGTTCTTGGGTTAATATACATGTATGTGAGTTTGACTTTTGGGTATAAAATTAAAGACTAGTTTTTAAAGATAATTGATCCCATACTAATCATGTTCTATATGATGCATTGCATAGGATAGTTTTTTAATCAAAATAACACTGTACACAAAGTGTTCACATACATGGTTTTGTTCAATTCTATTTTGTTAAGTCAAATGCAGTTTTGGCCACGACCTAGTATCTCGTGGCCACGATTTAGCTATCTCGTGGCCACGACTTAGTAACTCGTGGCCACAAAATAGTATCTCGTGGCCACGACTTAACTATCTCGTGGCCACGACTTAGTAACTAGTGGCCACGAATGTCACCTTTGTGCCACCGTAATGATGGCATAAAGGGAATATATTAAATCTTTTCTTTACTTCGTGCGCACGCGACGTCCAATACGTGCGCATGAGATAGCTAAATTACGTGATCACACAATATGTATCACGTACGTGTGCACACGTAAGACATATCGTTTGACCAGTGATGGCTTTTGCATATGTATTTATATAAGCAAGTCATTAAGAAATGCTCGTGTAACTTAAGCGTAAATAAATAATATCAATTTCTTATACAAAAAGATCACGAGAACATAATTCATACCAATAAATCTTATAAGACTACAAGTCTATAGATGCCAGCCGTAAAAATCTCTGCCGTCATTACAAATTGGCACTTATGTGTTTTGTTTGTTTTTCTTCCTTTGTTCTTTTAAACCAGTACATAAAATATTCTAAATGAATATCATAAAAAGATATGTACAGTTAAATCCAACCATAATTCTTATATCCAACGTTCGTAGATATAATGTAATCTGTCCATACAGAGTCATATCTTCAATCTGCATGTGTCTTGCCAGATTCTATGCTAATGCATGTTCATTACATATTTGAGCCATGCCACGGCAAAACCAACATAATGAGTTTGCGACCAGCATGGATCCAGACCAGCCTGCGCATCCGCGCAGTCTGATCAGGATCGATGCTGTTCGCTATCAGTTTCTCTTCTTGTAATAGAGTTGGTAAGCGAACAGCATGGATCCTGACCAGACTGCGCGGATGCGCAGGCTGGTCTGGATCCATGCTGGTCTCAAACCGCACTATGTTGGTTTTGTCGTGACACGGCTCATTTGTTTATCACTATAATTTTTGAGTTTGGCAAAAACATAAGTTAAGTACAATATAATATAACTCCAATTGCTTATATTTCGTACATGTAAATACAATGAATATTCTTAACACCTTCGAAGTCTGACCAGTATAGAGACAATATAATCTGAACACCATTGTGAAGTCCCACTAATTTTAAAGCCCAAACTTTTAGTCTGATCAGTAAAGACCCAATACAAGAACCATTTAAATCTGAACACCAATGAAGTCAGACCAGTATAGAGCCATTTCAATCTGATCACCAATAAAGTTTGATCACTATAGAGCCATTTTAACCTTGACACCCTTGAAAACAGACCAGTATAGAGACAATAAATAAAATCTAAACACCTGTGAAGTCAGACCAATAAAGAGCCAATAAAATGTGAGAACCAATTAAGTGTGACCAGTATAGGGCCCGATAAAATCTTAACAAACATGAAGTTTGACCAGTGGAGAACCAAATTACAGTCTGATCACGAGTGAAGCCAGAAATGTATAGAGTCAATAAAATCTGAACACCCATGAAGTTTGACTAATATAGAGTCAATACAATCTGAACACCCACGAAGTTTGACTAGTATAGAGCCAATAAAATCTGAACACCCATGAAGTTTGACTATTTAGAGCCAATAAAATCTGAACACCCACGAAGTTTGACAATATAGAGTCAATAAAATCTGAACACCCATGAAGTTTGACTAGTATAAAGTCAATAAAATCTGAACACCCATGAAGTTTGACTAGTATAGAGTCAATAAAATCTGAACACCCACGAAGTTTGAATATATAAAGTCAATAAAATCTGAACACCCATAAAGTTTGACTGAATAGAGTCAATAAAATCTGAACACCCATGAAGTTTGACTAGTATAGAGTCAATAAAATCTGAACACCCACGAAATTTGACTATATAAAGTCAATAAAATCTGAACACCCACGAAGTTTGACAATATAGAGTCAATAAAATCTGAACACCCATGAAGTTTGACTAGTATAGAGTCAATTAAATCTGAACATCCATGAAGTTTGACTATATAAAGTCAATAAAATCTGAACACCCACGAAGTTTGACTATATAGAGTCAATAAAATCTGAACACACATGAAGTTTGACTAGTATAGAGTCAATAAAATCTGAACACCCATGAAGTTTGACTAAATAGAGCCAATAAAATCTGAACACCCATGAAGTTTGACTATATAGAGTCAATAAAATCTGAACACCCATGAAGTTTGACTAGTATAGAGTCAATAAAATCTGAACACCCATGAAGTTTGACTAAATAGAGCCAATAAAAATCTGAAACACCCATGAAGTTTGACTATATAGAGTCAACAAAATCTGAACACCCTTGAAGTTTGGCTAGTATGAGTCAATAAAATCTGAACACACATGAAGTTTGACTAAATAGAGCCAATAAAATCTGAACACCCATGAAGTTTGACTATATAGAGTCAATAAAATCTGAACACACATGAAGTTTGGCTAGTATAGAGTCAATAAAATCTGAACACCCATGAAGTTTGACTAAAATAGAGCCAATAAAATATGAACACTCATGAAGTTTGACTAGTATAGAGTCAATAAAACCTGAACACCCATGAAGTTTGACTAAATAGAGCCAATAAAATCTGATCACCCATGAAGTTTGACTATATAGAGCCAATAAAATGTGAATACCCATGAAGTTTGACTAGTAAAGAGTCAATAAAATCTGAACACCCATGAAGTTTGACTAATATAGAGCCAATAAAATCTGAACACCCATGCAGTTTGACTAATATAGAGCCAATAAAATCTGAACACCCATGAAGTTTAACTAATATAGAGCCAATAAAATCTGAACACAATGAAGTTTGACTAGTATAGAGCCGATCAAATCTGAACACCCATGAAGTTTGACTAGTATAGAGCCAATTAAATCTGAAAACCAGCTAAGTCTGATATGTATAGAGCCAATAAAATCTGAACACCAATAAAGTTTGATTAATATAGAACCAATAAAATCTGAACACCAACTAAGTCTGATATGTATAGAGTCAATAAAATCTGAACACCCACGAAGTTTGACTATATAAAGTCAATAAAATCTGAACACCCATAAAGTTTGACTAAATAGAGTCAATAAAATCTGAACACCCATGAAGTTTGACTAGTATAGAGCCAATAAAATCTGAACACCCACGAAATTTGACTATATAAAGTCAATAAAATCTGAACACCCACGAAGTTTGACAATATAGAGTCAATAAAATCTGAACACCCATGAAGTTTGACTAGTATAGAGTCAATAAAATCTGAACATCCATGAAGTTTGACTATATAAAGTCAATAAAATCTGAACACCCATGAAGTTTGACTATATAAAGTCAATAAAATCTGAACACCCACGAAGTTTGACTATATAGAGTCAATAAAATCTGAACACCCATGAAGTTTGACTAGTATAGAGTCAATAAAATCTGAACACCCATGAAGTTTGACTAAATAGAGCCAATAAAATCTGAACACCCATGAAGTTTGACTATATAGAGTCAATAAAATCTGAACACACATGAAGTTTGGCTAGTATAGAGTCAATAAAATCTGAACACCCATGAAGTTTGACTAAAATAGAGCCAATAAAATATGAACACTCATGAAGTTTGACTAGTATAGAGTCAATAAAATCTGAACACCCATGAAGTTTGACTAAATAGAGCCAATAAAATCTGATCACCCATGAAGTTTGACTATATAGAGCCAATAAAATTTGAATACCCATGAAGTTTGACTAGTATAGAGTCAATAAAATCTGAACACCCATGAAGTTTGACTAATATAGAGCCAATAAAATCTGAACACCCATGAAGTTTGACTAATATAGAGCCAATAAAATCTGAACACCCATGAAGTTTGACTAATATAGAGCCAATAAAATCTGAACAGAATGAAGTTTGACTAGTATAGAGCCGATCAAATCTGAACACCCATGAAGTTTGACTAGTATAGAGCCAATTAAATCTGAACACCAGCTAAGTCTGATATGTATAGAGCCAATAAAATCTGAACACCAATAAAGTTTGATTAATATAGAACCAATAAAATCTGAACACCAACTAAGTCTGATATGTATAGAGTCAATACAATCTAAACACCCATGAAGTTTGACTAGTATAGAGCCAATAAAATCTGATCACCCATGAAGTTTGACTAATATAGAGCCAATAAAATCTGATCACCAATGAAGTTTGACAAGTATAAAGCCAATAAAATCTGAACACCAACTAAGTCTGATATGTATAGAGTCAATACAATCTAAACACCCATGACGTTTGACTAGTCGCATAAAGTTTTAAGTATGGAAACAGATAAGTACACTTTTTATGGACAACTTTATTACGAAAATGATAGTCATAGACATGCTTGCAAGCGTAAACTTATAGTTTTATGCATACTTAATTTAATTTAATTATTTAATTATTACTCTTTAGGATATTTATGATATAAAGTATTGTTTTATATCGTAAT